TATAACAAAAGACGATGTTCTAAAAGCAATACAATCGAACAAATCTGGAAAAGCTTGTGGTCCTGATGAAATCGTCACTGAATTTATTAGGAATGGTGGCGATACAATAACCCAGACATTAACGCTACTTTTTAAGTCCTTTCTAAAAGAAAGCAAAATTCCTGAAGGCTGGAAAGAGGGTGTTGTAAAACCAATCCACAAAAAGGGTGATACAAAAGACCTCAACAACTACAGAGGTATCACTCTAAATTCCTGTGTTTCAAAAATTTACAGTAAGGTTATTGAAACAAAGTTAAGAAAATTGATGAAAAGAAAAATGATGCAAGTGAACTTCAAAGTATGCTTGATATAGCAGCTCAGTTCGCTAGTAAATGGAAACTCAGTTATAACCAATCCAAGTCACAGATAATGTATTTTGGCAAGAAACTCCACAAAAAGTGCACAATTTGGAAACTAGGAAACTTGACATTAAAAGAAAGTAAAACGTACAAATATTTAGGCATAACCATATCAAAAACATTGAATGATCATACACAATTTACTGAAGTTTATAAAAAAGGAATGACAATCTTAGCATATGGCAAATCAATAATTAACCAACACAACAGTTTTAATCAATTTGAGTACAGTGATGTGTTATGGCACAGCATAATCATGCCATCAATGAATTATGGGTGTGGAATATGGTTTCAGGATAGCAGAGAGTTTAAAAAGAAATTACAAAGTATTCAGTACCAATTTGTGAAATTTGTATTCAAAGTAAACAGAAATGTGGCAGGACCTGCAGTGTTGGGGGACTTAGGATGGGAAGACTTGAATTACATCTAAGATAAAGTGCGGATTCAATACCTGGATAGACTTCAGAAAATGAAAAACAATAGATGGACTAAAATAGTTTTTAAAGAAATGAATACTCAGTATAAAAACAAAGTTAAACTGGCTTGGAATTGGCCTAAATATGTAGAAAACATTCTCGTGACTAATGGCATGGATCATATCTATGGAAATGAAATACCCCAAAATCCAAAATGGATTTATAAAAATCAGTAAAGAAAATGAAATAAACATGTTTAAACAAAATTTAGAAAAGATGAAAAACATTAAAAAAGAAAATTACATAATGGATCATTATGATCATCATGGTATCTCCCTTGTCTTTAAAACTAGGTCAAACTCTTTAGATCTTGAAGGTAACAAAATGGGATGGAAAAATTACAGGGGTAATGGAATTTGTGGAGTCTGCAATCAGGGCAAAGAAGACATTTACCACTTTCTTTATATTTGTACGTCATCTAATCATATTAGAAAGGAATTTTATTTAGCATTAGAAACCTCACTGAGAAACAATGTTGAGTCTTCATCACTAATGAATAGTTTTATTTCAGGGTGGTTGAATTATAGGTTCAATTTCCTTTTTGGTGATACACTATGGAACATAAATGAAAATGTGGGAAATACCTCATCAGCTTTAATTAGGAAATATGTAACTGATTTATGGCAATATAGAAAAGAAATGATGAATGTAATTTAAATATATGTATTACTATTTTCATGCTGCCGATACAAAGGTTGAATAAACATTATTATTATTATTATTATTATTATCATGCAAAACACACAACTCACTTTAACCGATTTGTTTACTGGACGCGCGACCTTGCTGTGACGCGGTCAGTCTCAGCGATTTTGATGGCTCTGAAAGAAAATCTCAGGCCTCAGAACTCCAGTGAAAAAAACACGCTTTCACGCAAAAACCCCGAAACCCGCACGCAGCTACGACAAAGTATCTCGGATGCGGGTTCTATGCTGGTAAATTCTGAATATAACCACTGCACGGTCGACTCGAAACACAAGGAGACCGGAAAGAAAACGGCAGCGATCCTCTATATATTGCTAAATACATTGAAAATAAAAGACGACATGCATGACGGAAACGAATTACAGTTGTAAAAGGTGCCGCCATGAAAACCAACTGGTTACGTAGTGGCGCCGGATTTTAATTTCTTTGTTGTAAAAAATACTACAAACAGGGAAAACGACACGAGGGTAAAAATGACAAGGAAAACTTATCCTACCAGCTACAATGTTGGATGCCGACAAAAAAAAAAGCAGGCGATCCAGCAGAGCTTGCTAGATTTCAACTCCACTCGAGGCGGAGAGAATTTAAGAGTGGCCTCGGGCACGTGGGTTTGTGACGTAAGGGGTAAAAGAATCTTGAGGTCATGGGGCTTCCCTTGACCTGGATTCTATCTCTCCGTCATCGACAGAATCGCTGATTAATGCCGACAGTTCAAAATAGTCATTTTGACTGACTGGAGTCTATGGTGGGTAATTGAACGTAGTGAATTTACGCTGCTTACGCCGCACGACCTCAGACCGCAAAAGCCGTATCCAGTCCATAAAGAACATTCCCATGTAGTATGATCTGCATACAAATTTGACTAATCCCTGTAGGCATCATGAGAGCTTTGGTTTTGTGCAGAATAATACTGAAATCAATTTAAAAACCTTCAATCTATATTTCATTTCTCCATAATCAAATCAAATTTTTTTATGGTGATCACGTTAATCCGTAGTCAGTGCTCTACCTATAATACACAGTTGGAATGCAGCATTAAGGTAAATATTTGTAATTTGAAAGACAAACTAGAATTTTGATTTCAAAATTTTTGATTAGTTTTGTAAATAATTCACTGGGTCGCTGAGGTCGCGGTGACATTTAAGTAAAAGCTCAAGAGGTACATATGGTCATAAAAAGTCTGTTTCACTGCTAAAAAACTAGTCTGTATTTTATTCAAAGTAGGTGGTCACTTTGACCGAAAACTGGCTTTATTTCTACGTCACTGGAAGTATACTAGTGACCATGTACCTCAGTCTATGAACAATAACAATTGTGAACAAGAACAAAATTGGACTTACAGTAGTTGACCAATGATTTACAATTTCAAACTATTACAAAGATTTGAAAAAAAAAATTACTTCAAATTATTTAAGATTAGAAATCATTTAGGAATTAATTATTCATAATTTGAAAGAAAGATGCAAGCCTGTAAATATTAATGATAATATCATGAAACAATGAAAAAAAAAATATGTCAACAGTCCTTATTTTCTGGATTAAGAGCAGCTTTACGAAAAATAATAAATGAACATGTGACATATAAGAAGCAGATTATTAAAATAACAGTTTAAGGTAACCAAATGTTGGTTAAATTTTGAACTACTGAGTGTGTTACTACTCATATGCACAATGCATTATGGGAAATAACCTTCCACTGCATAGGATGGCAAATATTATCACACAGGAAATTCACTAAATTATATGCCAAATTTTTTGAAATGTGTTCACAATATTCAAATTGTAGCAATAAGATACAACTTTTTCATCCCATATCACAAAACAAAATTTTGAGATATTAATAAATAATTTCATTAAAGAATCCCGTGTGAAAAAGCCAATTTTCACCATTTGCCATGACATTTTTTTTTTCATTTTTGTTATTATATGATGGCATGAACCCATGATAATGAAAGCATACAGAAAATGACTTAATATTCATCAATGCAGCTCAAACCTCCATAAAAAAAGTATTTCCATACATAACAATAAAAGCAAATTGCATAATAAATAAAACATAAAATATATTTGATATTTCAATAAATATACAAGCTGTGAAAATTTTACACTTAATTCTTATAACAAATAATGTCACGAAAGTTAAATAATAAATGTTTGGTGCATTTTGTTCACAATACTTCTGGATAAGTTAAAATTTATTTATGAATAAATTTGCATAATTTATCAATATTTGCATGATTAATGTCCCTGATACTTTTGGAACTGCATAAACATAATCTCGTTTGCCTTAATGAAATGGCGTGAGAATGTATCATGTGTTGTCATGGTTATTAAAATTTACACCATTAAGATTTTGCAAAAAAAAAAAAATTTTAATTTTACTTTGTTTTTGCTTCAAAAATGTACATGCAATTATCTATTTACAGTTATTTCATGTTAACAACATTGCACTGATAGTGTCATCATCTCACGACCAAGTTTGCTTAAATTTAGACTAGTTTATTTGCTTTATTAGCGCATTAACAATAAAAGCATAAATTATATAAACCCAAAATCAAATTTGTTGTATAGTGAATCATCGAAATATTACTTATTTTGATTTTAGAAATACCTCTGTAATTTACATAAGTGCATGTACTACTCATACAGCAAATACCCGACCCTAGCACATACACATTATTATGCGTACATGGGACACGCAGTCAGTGATCAAGACTCTTCAATACTTTTGGGGCAATTAGAAATTTAATAATAGACTGACAGGATTATATTATTGTAACATACAAACATATAATTGTATATTATATTTCACCAATACACCATATGTAGTATGCATATAGTCGTACAATTTCACAATGCTAGGACTACTATATGTATGAAAATTATAACGTTAAATAATGTAAACATCGCTTCAACGGCAATGATTAAAATCATTCGGTGTACTGATTCAGCAAACTTTAAGTTTTTACATTAATATAATTCTTTATTTTCTACGGGAAGACAAAACACACATATAATTTATTCCAGATGTACTTTTTTTTTCACTTTTTCATAACAGCTATACCAACACCAACGCCTATCGCCAAAGCTGCCGCTGAGCTGACAGAAAACCATGACTTTTTCTTCGTTTGAGTACTGACCTCTTGTTGCCGACCTTTAAACCTTGTTGGTGACCTCTGACTGTCTGAATCGCTGTCGCTGTCTCCCGGGAAACCAAATAGTGATGCCACAACATCACCATTGTCGGCGTCCGAATCTCCTGAGTGGTCTGAGTTATCGGTCTCAGTAAAGAACGTTTGTGTTGAGACGTCAACTCTTCCAGAATCGTTTTCATCCTTCCAAGTATCAACTGCTGCTGATGCATCTTGCACGTCAGTTGCTATAGTAACATCATCTTTCTCTTTTTCGCCTGACACACTCATGCCTTGGTTGCTAGGCAACATACGAAAGTTGCCAGGTGTTAGTAAATTACTGGCTCCTAAGCGATGTGGTCTCCCTGGAATATGATATGTTTGTCCATAGTCTTTCCACGATGGACTAGGGGGTCCACTACCAGGGTCACTGACATCTGATCCAGAGCTTTTACGAAACACTGGAGGTGTGAGCAAAGTTCCTTCTGGCCATGGTGACATGGGTAATGAAAATTCACTGGTGGTGCTATGAAAGATCAGAAGATGAATAGTCCTCAATGTTTATCCTCGATACTGCCTCCTGAAAATCAAAGAATGTTCATTTTATAGTAAAATCACTTTTTAATCAAA